TGAATATGGTCTGTTGGCAGGCGTGTACATGTCTTATTTCCAATTTGTGAGGGAGGATGATGTCGTTCATTTCGGAGAGATGGCGCTGTCGGAGCTGGATATAAATCCTTGTGATGGATATAAGAATTGGATTCGAGGTTTGATAGATGATTTTATTGAATGGGGATATTTGTAACTCTGAATAATATCCATAAAGTTCACGTTCCATTTTACAAATAAATGTAATAAAATGATTAATTGGTTTTATAATGCTATCGAGATTTGAAATAACATATACTTTGCCTATATCCCTTCCCCTTCCAAATTTTCTATCTCTTTCTATTCTTGTATAAATAGTTAATTCAAGTATTAGTGCTCTTTCTCACGGGCGCTTTTTTAACGCGCAAAGAACGCGTTAAAATCTCTCTTAATCTGTTCTTACAGCGCTTAAAATGCAACATTGCGTTTAAAAACGCTGCCCTTTGCAATAAGATATTTAGAAATGCATTTGTTCTAATTGAACGCTTTTTAAAGCGTGTACGTATCGCCGGTACGTATGCAGGTTCAAGTAGGTAAAACGTTCGTGAAATTGTGCCTATAATGGTCGACTAGTTTAACACATTATTAATGTTATAAACTACAATACAGGAACTTGAATAAAGGCAATAAACGTCGCGGTATGTTACGAGCTCGGTTCCTTGTTTATACTCCAGCAATAAGTAACACAACACGAGTATTAAAATCTTTTACGTTTTACATATTACTTACACTAACTTAACAGAGAAAGAGACTGCAGTATTAGCTACAAAGACCACACAGAAGTCATGAGTAAAGTGGAAGTAAATCCTAGTTTCGTCTGATTAGTGTGTGTTAAAGACCAACTACCGACTTTAATAAGTGCATTTAAGATAACGTAAATGCATCCTTCCAATTAATTGCACAAGTCTATAGGAAGCCGACACTATTTTAACGATTACCAATTGGTCCTGGTAAAAAAAAATACTGCAGATAAAATGGTTTGAGATCGATTATTGATTTCGGTATTTTAAATCTGTAAGGTCAGATAAAAAATACTTATATTGTAACGGGTCACCTCCCACAATGTACCATCGCCCACTAGCTAACGTATAGTTTGGATTGCGTTAGTCGTACAATGGATGATTAAAATGTGCGTGCACTTTGAGTTTCAACACAAAGAAAGCTATTACCTACTATTGTTGTGCGGAATTACTACCTCGCTAACGGTGTGTACACACTCGCCGAACAATAATATTTATTTAACTGATTTCTTTATTTAAATTGTTGTATCATAAATATGACGTGGTATCACTGGCTGGTATGGTAATATTTGGTAGCTATAAAATTCCCAATTTGTCTATTGTTTTTGTGCTAAACTTAAGTTTCTATGGAATATTTGTTTTTCTTTAATAACACTTGTTTACTTAATTATTTATAATGTGTTGGGTTTCCTTAATATGATATTAAGGTAAAACTCAATGAATAGAAAATAGTGTTTAAGGCGTAGTCAAAAAACTAAAACTATTTTAACTTAAATCGCTGTATCGAATGTATTCGGTCCTTTACAAGTGTATCTGCGATCTTTTTCAATAACACAATAGCATAAGAACGCATCGTGAACCGGCGGCTACAAGACCTAGGTACTAAGCTTATTGAGACCTAGGATAGACTGGCCATTGTCGGATCTAGAACAGTGTGTATTCAGTCGGCGAACTTAAGAACTCTTTGATTTATTTGAAAAGAGGATTGAAGTACAATATATTGAAGTATTTAGGACTATAAATTAAGTGCGTAAACTTATAGCATTACTTAAAGTGGAACTGCGTTTTGTTTTATAAAATTGTCATTACACGAAGCGAAAATACGAATGCAATCGTCTTGAAGTGTAGGCAGATTTTCATGATAATCCTCTTTTTTCATGAGTAAATATGTAGTAAATAAAAGTGTTTCAATATAATGTTTTCAATATAGTTGGTAAAGTTTCGCTACGAAGTGCTACGGGGATCTACGCGGCCAGTGTTAGAGGAAAGGGGGTCGAAGGGAAAGGAAGTCCTGTGGGAAATCATCGAGAAATGTTGCCACGTGAGAGTCCAAGTGTCGTTACATTTGTTTTATTGTCTTTCGAGACAAGTTATGTGTAGTCATTCCACGTGTCGTGTGTAGACAACTTTATTGATAACGACGATGTCTGATTACATCGCAATCTTTTGGGACCATTACGTTAAAAATAATCATTTCGTTTTCTAAAGAACATTGGTGGCTCAGGGGTTAAGCACTTGACATATAATTTGCAGATCCTGGGTTCGAATCCCTTCATATAACAATGTGCTTTTCGATTTTCAATTTACATATTTACATTCATCCGACGTTCTTATGGTAAAGGAAAATCGTGATACTGTACATATCAAAGATATTTGCGAAGTCAATTCGCACTGGCCATGGCGTAATCACCCCTAACTTAGGTAGGCTCTGAGCCCTTCAGCGAGTACGTAAAATGAGCTGATGAAAGATGATTAATTTTTCTAACAAAGACATAATTCCTTTAGTTTTTTAGTCTGAAACAAAGGTACCTCTTATGAATATTATAATCGAAGTTTTCCGGAGTTCGATTCTGTTTTGTTTAATCAGAGTTTTTTTTTTAATATTCCTTTGGTAATACGTAGATTTGTAAATAAATAAAACACAGAGATCCGTATATTAATGTAATTTTATTTTTAAATAAATATAACCAATAACATTTATTACATCACAGGAGTAGGGTATCATAAAAACACAATTCAAGTTCATCGCGAATAAAAAACGAAAACTTTTTTTTATCCGACCATAAATATTTTTTTCAGTGACATGTTTATGGTCCGATAAAAGGAGTTCCGTTATCAATTGACATCCCTTACAAATATAAATAAGATTAATCTACAACATAAAATTATTGTTAATTTATGAACAGCGTTAAAAAATTAAGTGTTTGCTATTATAAAATTTCAAACGGAATGGCGTTTGTTTTTTTTTATCAAAAAAAAAATATATATTTTCAAAATTAGGCTGATTTTCTTTTTGTATTTCTATGAAACATGTAACAAATGCAAAATAGCTTATGTGAGTATTAATCAAATAATGTAGGCCGAGTTAATTATTTTTCATGTTTACCAAAAGCGCGTTCCGTTGCACTAAATAAATTAACATGAACGAACCGATTAACATATTATTTATCTTACGGGCAAAATTAAACAATATTCACAAGTTTTATATTTAATACAAATCCACTATATTTTATGTTTAAGTTCAGAGATTATTCTATTATAATAATTTTAGAAATATATTTTAGCGCACCGTTTATGTAACGAAACACTAGAGAGCGTAAAAAAAAAGCGCGCCAAAACACATTTCTGTCAAAGATTACGAAATCTAGAGATATGCATAACTAGAAACAGATTAATATTCCAATCTACAACTAAATATACTTTTTACAATCCGTTGTACATTCAAGCGAAATTTTTAAGTCGTTCTTTTTAGTATGTTAACTACATGTTTGTTTAATTTCGTTTAAAATGTACATCAAATGTATCCGCCATTTTGAATTAGTGCACGAGAAGTTTTAATACAAAAAATTAACCATAGAATATTTCAAGCAAAAAAAATCTAGATTTATTGTGAAAGATATTGATTAAACTTTAACTAAAGTATTATGGCTGACATTATTATTAAATGTCAAACATAACCATCAACAATTTTTGTTCCACTAGTTCGTCTATGGTTGCAAATAGACTCAATAGATTATTGTAAATTGTTCGGACGCACGTCAGTATGATTTGTGCTATTGTCCAACTAACGGTCACCTATGAGATCGCATAAATAATTTTGACAGCTCAATTGTAAATGATTGCTTAAGTGCAGGTCTCTATTTTGTAACGTCTTGAACAAAATTTTATACCATAAAGTGATTCATTATAAGAACATTTAACATAAATGACATGACAATTTACTTCTGGCAACTTTCAAATTGCTTCGGATGCACATTTAAAACGAAATTTACTAAATATTTGAACTTATTAATGCTAATAATACTGTACACACCTCCATTCCAGTAATGGTATTGTTCAAATGGTTACGTACTATAAATCTTTACTATTTCTGACAGTAGACTCTATAAAAAGGCGCTCTATACAAACAAGTATAATAAAAGAGCTTTGGCAAGATAAATATTTGACCGAAATGACCAACTTGTATCAAAATTTCAACTTAAAAGTACAAGAGTCTATCAACTAGTTTATAAATAAATCTGTAAAACTTACAGAATAAGTATTATATTTAAATGAGGTACGTTGAACCACTCTGACTAAATATTCGCGGCGTTGGATATTAGATTTTTTGAAAAATGACCTATTCTCTATTATGTACAATCGTGGACTTGTCAAAACATTTGTCAAAATAAAAATTAGATGTGGTAACATTATCTTAATTTGACAGCACACTAGCGCCACTCAAAGGTAAAGAAACTTTTTGAGTTTGTGTATTATTTTCTATGTTTACTATAAAAAAGAAATAAGAAATACTATAAAGCTATGTAAACATATCGTAAACTATCACCAATGTATATAATCATCAAATTGTTACGAAGAAATAAAATAAAATGTAAGAACTAATAAGTGTGAAAATGTCTCTTGTGTCGTTTTGAGTAAGTAATCGTTCAAACTCGTCTCGTGGGTATCGTAAGAACCGTACCATGATCAGCACATTACGAAGATCCAAATTATCTTTGGGAGTTGGCTTATAATGTTGAAACTAGTGTGAACTTTACTTTGTACTAGATGTCGTCTACGACTCCGTCAATGCGAAATAATAAAAAATTAAATAAAAGCCTATGAGGGGAAGAAAAAACTTCAATAAGTTCGAATATTTGACCCTTTCACTTTTATCTTCTGGACGGTTATTACTACCATCTCTATGGTTTAATTAATTTATAGAAACGAAGAATGCTACAGCAATTTCTATGTGGTGTGTTTTTTCAGTATATGTTTTTGACAAATGTTTTGATGCATAATGAAGCCGGTTGTACTTATAATATTATTAATACGCGTTTTTAATAATCTAACAATTATACAAAATGCTTCAAATGGAACAAAACTTAGTTATTCTAGTTCAATATTGATAGGTTAATAAATAATATTCATAATATACGTTCGTCAACAAAGCCCGTATTTATTGTTGTTTAAATATAATTAACGTAAAATTTTAAATAGATTATGACCATGTTGACAATCGTATATAAACACTAACAAAATCCTAGGAAGGAAAAATTAATTAAGTCACGAGTTCTGTAATTTTTGGCATATAATTAAGAAAAACATCCGAAGAAAACAATCCGAGTTCGATTTAATTTATTTAGATTTTTTAATCTATATTCGTATTACATTGGCTGTCAACGTCATTTCCCATGTTGTTCCTTTTTGAAGTTTTTTAATTATAAAGTTTAATTTCGTTTCAATTAATAAATACATATCGATTAGCTTTTCTTCGACCATTCAATACACACTAAAGTTATTTTTATACTCGACTAGGTTAACATTTAACTGGATTTAGTAATGAAAAATCTATTTAAGTTAGCGTATGGCAGTAACATTGGATACTACTTATCAATTCACATTTTGCACGGAATATAGACGGAATATGCATTCAAATAAGATATCGTTCGATAGGTTCCTTTTGCAAATAGATTGTTCTCGCGGCGCCACTGTTGCATTCCAAGATGGTGGCGAGCGAATGACAGCCGGCGACAGCTGTCAGCTAATGGCAGTTGATGGCGCGCCGCTGCAGCCGGCGGATGCGTCTGTGCCAATCGTCGCGCCACTCCAGCAGGAGGGTTCTCTCTCCGACCGTGAGGCCGGGCATGCCAGATGATGCTCCCTCTTTTTCCACTCCTAGGATTAGGTAGGACCTGTGACAAAACATTTCAACATATTTTATCGTTTCTTCATCATAAATTTGCAGCTCTTGTTTCTTTTCAAGTTAATAAATATGATTTAAGAGTAACTGACTTGTTAATCTTGATCTTGGGACAGTTGCAGGCGAGGTCTGCGGCGCGCACGTAGAGGGCGGCGGCGCCGCGGCGAAGGCGGCTGCGCGGCGCGCGCTTGTACACCGCTTGCACGGCCAGTGACAGCCGCGCCCACGCCGCGCCCGTCCCGCCCGCTGGCTCGCGACCCACCACCCGACCCATTATGACTGCACACAATGAACAATTTTACTGGTAAAGTAAACCCAGACACACCAGAAATAAAAGAGAGGGTTTCGGGCAAGATCAATAAAAATATCCACCACAAAGATTAAACTGATGAACATAAGTTAACAATTACATTCGCTGTCGTCTATTACTATATGCAGCACTAACAAGCAATAAACGTTAGCTACACATTATCACGAACAGTCAAATAGTTTAGTTGGAGTTGCATGAGAGTTCTCACCGTAGTCTCGGCTGCAGTACTTGTTGAGATTTAGTGTGCGTGCGCCGGCGCGGCACCGGCCGCACTGCTCCGTTGCTGCACAACACATACATAAAATACATACATTTTGATCAAGTTAATACATACAAAAGAACAGATACTTATAATAATCCTATTAAAAATGTAACTGAAGATAATCAATTTACAACTAAACATGAAATGAACAATGATTTGTACGAGAAACGCTGTAAATACAAGTTACAAAGTTACATAACATCGAGCTAAGTTACATGCATAGCAAAATAAACTAAGTTACCTGAATCACTTGAAAATTTTAAACAGAAAACAGAAACAATTAAATGAATTATTGATTTGTTGATGGAATTTAAGAAAAAGCCTGAAATCAAATTGGTATTGTTTTAAAATGAAGATATGTAAACATTGATGAAATCAGTAAAATTGTGCAAATAAATATGTAATGAAGTGATAGTACCTTGTGATCTCGTCGACAATAATTTAGTTTGAAACAAGATTGCATGATGCTAACTAGGTTAGATTTACTGGAACACCGAATACAGGAATTAGTTAGGTAATAAATATATTAAAAGTGTGAATATTCCGAAAATATATTTCCTCATTTTATTTATAGTTTTTAATTATGTTTTAAAACAATAATTTTTGTTTATGTTAATTAGGTAATTTCTTTGTTTCAATTCTTCGATCAATATCAAATGTTAGTACGTATCCATTTAGCCGAATTAGGATTACATATTGAAAACTTTGATAAAGGTATAATCACTTCGATGGCGGACACTCGTTCACATACTAAAGGATTATTTAAATAATTGTAACAACATAGAAAGAAAATTATCATCAAGATATGAATAAAGAAAAGAAGTACCACGTACTGATAAATAAATCTCCAAGAAGGTTGAACAAGATAAGTCAACCTCCTTAGTAATTGAATATAAACTCTTTGGTGCAAACTTATTAGTCATGTAAGTACTAGATGTGGCAGTGTTATTGTCAGTGGCCAGTGTGAACGAGTGCCCAGCGGCATGCGGTGTGGTGAGGCGAGAGTGCATGAAGGTCCACTTACTACTTACCGCGCCCCGGCTCCGCGTCTACCGCCTCCATCGCCTGCACCGCGGTCACCACGCGTGGTATACCTGTACATAACACGGCACACATTATAAATATTCTCATTGACCAATCATACTGAATACTGCAGTCACTATTAGAGAGCAGCTACAGGACGCCTGCACAAAATGCAACACATGTGATTTGTACTTTACGATAAAGAGAATAAAATACAAAAGTTTGAGGAGGTTTCCTGAATTTTAGTAAATGGATCTTAAGTACTAAAATTTTTTGTGATCGTTGGTGCGGACACTAATGACATGATTATTATGTGTTTAAAAACGTGTTCATTATGTAAAGACTCACGTATGCAGGGCGCGATGTGGCTACGTGATTGCTGGTAGCCCTTTGCGCAGCGGTTGCAAGTGGTGCCGGTGACTCCATCCTTGCAGGGGCACTGCCCGCTCGTCTGGTTGCACGTCTTGCCGCTTGCACCCACCGGGTGACAGTCACACGCTGAACGGAACAAATATTAGATTCAATGATCAAAAAAAGTTTAGAAGCAGCAGTCACCGAATGCAAAAGAATAGTTACCGATACTTCATCTAAAACAATTGGTTGGCTAAAGAAAACAATCTCACTTTGATGGCCGAAGCTATAACGAAGGAAAAACTGGGGAAAATCAATTGCGTCTCTTTTTTTTTACTTTTTTCGGACAAATTGCGTCGCGGACCACTAGCTTTCAGTAGCTCAGAGAGGCTATAAAGTCGGAAAAAATAAACTACGCGAAATATCCACAGTCCATTTGTTGCGGTCGGGTCGGAAAGTAGTTTTCCCATAAAAATGTTAGCGCGGGCGTGTGATGTGCCCCCGGGGACTGGGAGGGGGCTTTATGGAGACGGGACCAGTTCTGCTGACGTAGAATTGATGAACTTACACTTTTAGATGGTCGTGAAGGTGAAGATGTTTCTAAGGGTAACATTACACTGGGGCGTTTGAATTTTTTGAATTATTTTATTAAATAATTCAGAGCATTTTTTGAAAAGTAAATTACTGGAATCCATCACGTTAACCAATATTTTTACTGTTATATATTTTTGTGATAAAGTTACGAAATATAAATTTTTCTACATCTTGTCTTAATAATGTATAATATGTCAAAAGGAATTTGTTAACAATGTAAATATTAAAATCAAATTTGATAACTAAAGTAAAAAATACGCTTAGAGAAAAAATCTTATAAATCTAGTCCAACCAATATCTACTTTAGGTGTTATAAAAGGCAAAGTAATTCAGTGCCCGACCTCTGAGGTCCATTACCCTTCCGGAAAGTGCGTGCAATCTGCCCCCGACCCGACCGCACGACCGCACGATAGACTTACGAGAAACTTGCGGCAGTCGCCGGTTGGGACTCGTTACAATAATTGAGTTTTCGGGATCGCCTCCGAACCCTATTGTGAGGTTGAGAATAGCTGATGTTACGTTTTATGTTTATTATTTCGGATTAAGTCCATGTTTTGCCCAACAATAAACTGTTTTTTACGCTTTCCTAACAAATTAATTCATGTATTTTTTATAAAATAACAAAATCGTCATTCTCTAAATGTTAAACTAAATTTAAATTGAAAAAACTAGTAATGATCGTTTAGTTTTGAGTAAGGAATTGTTAAGTTTTATGAAACTTTCAACAAGTATTAAATCTTTTGTTGTCAAAGTTAAACAAAATGTCGTCTGAACACACGAGAGATACAGTCACTCCCCTACGCCATAAAAACTTCAACTGATTTATATATCGTTCCATTTTTAAATAAAGACGACAGTGTACTGTTTACTTTCACGGCGTACACAGGTGAATAACATTTTTTATGACGCGTCTTTTATTTATTTTATCTGTACCCAATAGCTAACTCACTTTTATCGTTAAAAAAAAAGTTACACGAATTATTTTTATCTTCGTTTTTGACTTACCCTTTTACGGTGTCAATAAAATGTTGTTTAATACACGTTAAAGTTATTCAATTACATTTTGTTGTAAATAAATTGGAGTCTGGTAAAGTTTGAACGGTATTTTTATAGCATATAATGTTTTAACACCTAAAAACGTTTATTCCTTTTTTGGTCATTTTCATCGAATACTACTACCTTTTTAATAACAACCCGATACACGCCATGAAAAAAAAATTTAACAGCAAAACTCTAACAACGTTTGAACACTTAATGATCCAACTGAAAACAAAAACAAAATGTTATTATAAAATTAATTTACATAGCTCAAATCAAATTGGCGACACGTGACAGTAAATTCTATCTGCAAAATATTATTAGGTCGAATCCCTACCACCGCTACCATCAGCGCCAAAATGGTGAATATCAATTAGGCACAAAATAGTACTTCTTATAGCCAATCCATTTATAGAAGTCAGTGGATAAAGTTTACTCACGTTTGCAGGCCTTCTTGTGTGTGATTGGTTTGGCGGGATCCCGGTAGTAGCCCTCGCGACAGTAATGGCAGTGACGACCCGCGGTGTAGTGTCGACATTTGAGGCACACGCCACCGCTCGCGCGTCCCGACAGCTTGTACAGCTCCATGTTGAAGCGGCAGCGACGTGCGTGCCCGTTGCAGTTGCACTCTGTGACCAAATAAGAAGCTGTGACTACACTGTCAAAGTCAAAACAAGAATAACAAAACAAGACTAGACGCCCTGTCAGCTGACACAGTGGGATACATTGGAAAATACGCAATACCATCTTACTAATATTATAATTGTTTAGATGGATGGATGTTGCTGAAATTTGGCATAGATGTAGAACATAGTCTGGAAGAACACATAGGCTACTGCTTTTTTTTAAATTCCGCGCGTACGGAGTGCGGGCGACAGCTAGCAGAAGAATATTTCTTAAAACAATATTTGTAATCAAGTTTTCTTTTGTTCTGGACTTTTCATATGAAAGGTGTGAAATTAAATATTTTAGTATCCAAACAAGTTATTAAAAAAATCTGAAAAAAACATAATGTAAGCTAAAGGTGTATTAACAAAGGCTGTAGTAACATATGAATGAAATTATACAAAACCGTTGTGATAACAATACGTCCTGTCGACGCACTGGCACACATGAAACTGTCATCGTATGATCTGTTTTAATGATTTACATATCACTGCCGCCAGATGGCGCTCACCAGTTCCTTTGTGGTTTGCATCAACATTCGTTACGATTGATTTATAATGTTGAAGAGTTATAGCTTACAGTATTTTCTTTTAGGTTACAAATGTTGTATTTGAATTAGCTTATGTAAAAATATGAGTATCGCTTACAAAACAGTACATTTATAATTTTATAATATTGTCATAAAACTACAATCTTTCAAAGACGTTAAAATAAATTAATATTAAGTTGAGATGTCGTGTCTATTGATTTATTACTCTGTGTTAGCTTTTAACTAAATGCTATTTGTGTTTAACACCGTTATAACGTCTTTGTCTAATTATAAATTTACTGCTATGTTTTATTGCTAAATAAAATGTTTGAAAACTTGTTAAACGCTGACAAAGTTAAATTTAAACAGACATATTTGCTAGTCACTAAAATAACTATCATTAAATATATTTATATCACGGAAAGTAACTAAATAATTACAGTATTTATTATAAGTTTATGTCAAATCTTTTAGGTAATGAAAATAAAGCTTTGTCATTTTTATTAAAGTTTATACAGAGTCGTACTCAAGTGCTGTGATTAATAAATTCTGTGCTTGTAAATTCAATCAATAAACAATCAAGTTTCAAAAGGAATCCCTAAATTTTCCAACCCATATTTTGTATTCAATAGATGTTAGCGAATCAGTATTCAAAGTTGTTGGCGCGGGAAAGCCGCGCCGAAGCCTTCGTTACGTAACTCGCGCGTGAGCTATTAGCTTTTGCAAGTTTGTAACCATTTCGTATGTAATATGTTTTTCCATTTAAAAATTGAAGACATTGATTTGTAGCCTAAATGGCTTTATCGATTTTGACATAAGTCATTTTAATTCGTACACGAAAATATGAATATTCCCAAGTTACTCGATACAAGTAAGTGATGAGTAATTACTGGAGCTTATAATTTTCTTAGCACGAGGTACATCCCCATGAGGTGGACAGAGCAGCTGAGAGCGGCAGTAGACGTCTCTTTACATGTATGTGCAAAAAGAGTGGAGGCGTCTGGTGAAACGAGTCACAGCACCTGCTAGATGTTTACGACCATGTCTATAAAGTCTGAAGCTACTAAGAAGATAATTATCTTAAATTAGGTAACTTAAGGGGAATCCTCAGTGTATATTCTCATTGTAAAATTGAACTATAAGAGGATTCTTCGAAGACTCTGAGTATAGAAATCATTGTATTATATAGTTTTCCGTTTAGCTAGTTAGTATGTTTGAAAAGAGTGCAGTAATTGTTACTTTCCCCGGTGCGCACGTGGTCCCGGGTAAGTCGGTACGTGCGGCTGTACATCCGACGCCGCTTTGCCCGCTGACCGCGGACGTGACCCGGGATAAAGAACTGCAGAAGCCCGGCAGTTGCTAGCTATGGCTCATTGTTGTGTTAACTTTTGTGATTGATTCATTAGAGGGAGAAATTGTTAGTGTTATTTACTTTACACTAGTATTTATAGCATGTACAGAATCTGTGCTGAAAATCTAATTAAGCTGTTTGTCCCTTAAAGCAAAGATTCAAATATGTTTTTGTATTGCCTTTCATTGTTTTGTTCTTTGTACCTTATCTACGAAATTTTACGCTTCAAAATGTTCGTTCTTTGTTTGAAAATATAATACTCGGAATACAATACGTCGTTTTAGATTAATGTCGCGTTCAATACATTCATAGAATTAATCTCCTCGCTATAAACAGTTAATTTTAAACACAATCAAGATAAAGTGACTTAGGCACTGTTAAATCCTATCGTGTTAGACAGTGCGAAAGGAAGCCAGACGTCGCCAACCCTCGGTAACATTGTTAAAGCGAAGGGGAACTCCAAATTGGCGCACTCGAGATAACAAGTTTATTAATTCAATTAATTCCGAATTCAAAATGGATGTATTAGCGCTTAATTATTCGGCACAAAGGTTGAGCGTCCCTGGCTCGTGTGGAAGACATGTTAATTAGTAACGAGGATTACTCGTGAAATTTGGAACACCTGAAACATACGACTAATAATATTATATCTCTTTTATATCTTTGTAAAATATCTAATATACCGCTTCAAGGAAAAAATACTTAAAAGTCCAAATTTTTTTTTTAAAAACCATTCCAACTAAGCTCTATGCTTGTGCTAACATATGGTTCACGACAATAGTCGAATGTCGGGATTCGAACCCCCAGCCTCGTGATCGGAAATCCGTATCCTTAACCATTAGCCTATTGACGCTTTTAGCCAAAATTAAATATTGTTTCCATCTGTTGTGTGTGTTTAAGAAGTAGGACATTGTTTAATCCATTCTTCGGTTGACACGGTTCATCGTTTTTACCGTGACAGTCACATTAGCTCTAATCTGAGCCCAATGACTAAACCCTGGTGCTAGCCAACTAGGTGCCCTCAGCGGCCATTATTTATCCATTGGCGATCCGCCAGGCGGTTTCAGGCCGAATCCGAAATACAATAGTCCGGTTAAGCGCTCTGTTTGTACGATTAACTTGTGATTTATAGTCTGTATCGTTTATTTTGTTTTCGTCGCTCGCGTGCGCGTACTGTGTGACATTGCGGTCTAGATTTACACGAAATTGAGATATTATGAGTAAAGTTAATTTCAATTTGACTTGAAATCCGGCACTGCTTCGCTCTAGTAGCATGTCATAAAATAAGTTAGTTAACAAAATATCCGGAACTTGAAGTTAGTGACTTGATATTTTTATAGCTTACAAATTACATACATACGGTTTAATAATCGAAAAAGAAGTAAAATAAGTTTATGATATAAGTTCAGACTTTTTAGACTTAAAATTATTCCTAACGACCATAAGAAAAATAATTCAATACATAGAGTTGAACATGTCTATGTAGACTGGACTCCACCACTGCGCTGGCCGAGCTGTGTCTCCAGCACCCCAGGGAGATGAATAAAACATCCGGGAATTGGACAACACAACCTCGCCACACAAGTTATGAGTGGTACAATATATAAGCATATAGCGACATATTTTAACATTTATTATTAATAATCATGATAATAAATAAAATACATACGTCCCTGTTTCTCCAAAAAAAAAAAACGGCAGCTATATTTTGTTATATTTTTACTAGCTCTCGCCAGCAACTCCGTTCGCGCGGAATAAAAAAAACTGATTAGTTGCCTATGTTTTCTTCTAGACTATTTTCTACGTCCATGTCAAATTTCAGTAAGATTCATGCTGCCGTATCGGCGTTACCTTCAAACATCAAACAAACATCCATCCATCCATCCATCCAATTGAACATTCGCATTTGTTTTATTAGTAAGATGTATTGTATTTAAGAGACATGTTTAATATTAGTTTAATACAAGCTATTTCAAAGTTGAGCAAAAACACTGACAATTTAGACTGTCTTATAAAAAGTTACAATAAAATTAACAGATTAAAAATCTTTTATAATATTTAAGTCTACAATTAATATTTTTATTTGTGTAATTTCGGTTATAAATCCATTTTCATTCCCGCTTAAGCGTGTATCTTGTACCATACGAATGAAACATCTTAGCTCGTATGAAATGCATTAGTTCCTACAACTAGCTCGATATAGGGTTGTCACAAAATAAATATTGCATAGAGTTTGTGCAGAGGGTATGTCAGAGAGTCTATATCCAGGCAAGACAAGCAATTGATATGTCATCGGTAGAGACGTGGGAACTTATAGAAGTGGGAGGAAAAGCAAAGTGACCAAGTGCAAGGATAAGTAGACGACAGTATTAATTTATGTAAGGTTAAGTTACGTGTAAATAAACTTAAGTGACTTAAAAGTAAACATAATTTCGTAGTTCATTTTATTAAACGTAATTCACAAAAATAATACGACTAAATTATCGTGTGTTAACATTAATATAATTTTTATTTACGTCATCAATTTTAAACAGAATAATTGGGAACAGAACATATTTTAGGACTTATTATGTGCATATGAATTCGTAATAAGTATGTAATGTATAAACAAATAGGTGTCTTCTTTAATAATTTTAATCACATAAATAAATAAATAAATAAAGAGTTTATAATTAGAGTGAATGGTCATGATATTGAACTGTATTTCGTGTCACGTTTATCGACTCCCAGCGAATAATTTAATGACAAGAAAGATAAAGCCTTCCTCTGAACTTTGCCTACGACGTTAAATTTAACAGACGAGATAAAATAGACAAACGTGCAACATTATATTCATGGGAGTCAGCCAGTCTCAGTTTCACTGCATATCTGATTTTAAAACCAAAGTCTTTCAACACTTCCATTTGGAAATTATATGGCGTCTACTGTTTTGTGGTTTATAGTGTTTAGTATAAAAGTTGTTGGTTTCACAAACGCTGCTTTACCCGTTCTATATATTTGTCAAAAAACGTTAACCTTTCTCAACAAACATGTTGATAGTGTGATATATGCGTCAAATAAAATAGTTTAGTCGTTTACTCATA